CCTATGAGCGGAAAGCCACTAAGTATCAGGACCTCGTTGAGCAGTGCAGGGCCAAAGGGTGGCAGACCTGGCTATTCCCGGTTGAGGTCGGTTGTGTGGAAGACACTCACAGCTCTGGGTATAGCAGGATGGGAGAGAAAGGCAGCTGTCCGTAGGTTGGGTGAGGCAGCAGAAAAAGCGTCTTGCTGGCTCTGGAATAGAAGGGAGGAGTTGAGCTGGGGGCCAGGAGGAGGTGGGCAGTGACTGGCCACCACTGCTGACCCGCCAACTGGAGGGTGTTGTGGTTCAGGGTCGAAACACCCGGTGAAGGTTGGATGCTACCTGGTGACATCTTCTCCTGGCCGAAAGCTACAGTCATGCACTACAGTCAGTCACTGAGTAGATAGCATCTGTAAAGATGTATCCAATAGTAAACTGTCAGTACTTTTACAAAGTTCTCTATGCTTCGTTTTGCATGTATGGACACTCATTATGTTACTGTGTTAGTGTGGGGCTATTTTGAGCCCTGTTTGTGGTATAAACTAGCGATTTCTTTTTACTTAGTCAATGCCCCCATTAATAGGATTATACGCTAAACAGTTTTTAGAGATAAAACTCTTTACATTCGATTATCATGAAAACAAATCTCAGAGAACGATTGACTAGGTACCAATGTTTTATTAGACCAAAGGTTCATTGTTCGCCGGAGTCCTCCTTTAAGCAAATCAAATAGATATAATAATTGTTTTATACCTGCTGCAATCATGTTTTCAAAATCATTGTAAATCATCAAAAGAATTAATAAAGACAATAAAATGTGTGATGGTAGAGTCAGAATTTGGCGTAAACAGAATGAGAACATGGATCCATCATGCCTTGTTACCACTGTGCAGGCTGGTGGTGGTGGTGTAATGGTGTGGGGGATGTTTTCTTGGCACATTTTAGTCCCCTTAGTGCCAATTGGGCATCGTTTAAATGGCACGGCCTATCTGAGCATTGTTTCTGACCATGTCCATCTCTCTGATGGCTACTTCCAGCAGGATAATGCTCCATGTCACAAAACTCGAATCATTTCAAATTGGTGAATCTTGAACATGACAATGAATTCACTGTACTAAAATGGCCTCCACAGTCACCAGATCTCAACCCAATAGAGCATCTTTGGGTTGTAGTGGAACGGGAGCTTCGTGCCCTGGATGTGCATCCCACAAATCTCCATCAACTGCAAGATGCTATCCTATCAATATTGGCCAACATTTCTAAAGAATATTTTCAGCACCTTGTTGAATCAATGCCACGTAGAATTAAGGCAGTTCTGAAGGCGAAAGTGGGTCAGTGGTGTTCCTATTAACCCTTTAGGTGAGTGTGAATTGACTACATGTACTTGGTGTTGTAGTACTCCAGGTCAGTCGCATTTCAATTCTGTGAAATAAATTCTACCAGAAAAGCCTCGGGAGATAGAATGATGTAACAAAGCATTAATTTATTGACAGCCCAGCAAGCAATTATTGTCCGTAGCGCATAATCCGAGGGTAGCAGATCTGCATTTCCTAATTGAAGACGAAGGGGCGCAGCTGACCCCCCAGGAGGTATGGACAGGACCATCCTAGTGATGGTGGGGAGGGTGGAGGTAATTGTTTGCTTCAACGTCTGTGAAGGTGTAAGTACCGATCTTTTGTACAGTGACATGAATGGATAGATGTGAAGATAATAAATGAAGTAATAATTGAGTCTTCCTGGCAGAATTAGTGCTAAAGCTTTCAGTTCACCATGATATACTTACATCCTGACGTACATTCAGAGGGTCTCCGGATTTTATTTCAAGACCCCAACAGCATGCAAGGAGATTACTAAATTGCATCCTGCTTCAAGTGCAATCAATAACTTTTTTCATCAAAACCAATAACTTATTTCTAATTCGATTTCTTTTGTTACTGTTGTGCCAGGTCAGAAATAAGTAAATAAGCTATTGATTGTGGACAGGAATAGATGGTGGGATTGTGTGAAAAATGTCACCAAGTTGAAAAGATAAATGCCCTCAAAATTCAAGATATGATTGTACTCGTAGGAAATATTTTTGAAATAACATATGATATGATTAAGCAACATAAGCAAGGTCGTTTTCATTAAAATGAGGACGACTGCAAACTTGATATTGATTTTACACAAACGTTCAATAAACAATTTTATTTTTAAAACATTAATATTTCAACATTATCTATGCAGTCATAACTGTACCAATTCAGATGCAACTTTTGTGTCACCTCTGCAATACAAAGACCAATTTTGTTTCTACCAAACACTACCAATACTTACTGTAGGATTCGGCTTAGGGTTTGGTGTAAGTTAGTTGCATGCATGTATACGCATGACTATTAATGCACAATTAATAGTTATTACTATAATAACTAAATAGAGTGTTACTGAAGGCAAAATGCATCCTTAAATAGAAAAAATACAAATAAACTATCCCTAATCAAACTCAGCGCACATTTCCAACTCTGTCAAAAACAACAAATTTGACAAGAATGAGACTTTATTGGATTTATGTGGAGTTTATAACACTAAGATAAAGGGCAGTTTACACATACAATTACAAACAAACATGTGATTTGTATGAGCAACATGATTACCTGTACAATATTTCATACATGGTTGGTTTGTGTATTCTCAGTGCATAGGCATTACACACAGAGCAACTGTTGCACAGCACAAGAGTATCTGAACAGGCTGAAACGGAGTAAGGCTGTTTGCTTAAGAGACTGAAAATATACCACGTTTACATTACTTGACTGTAAAAACCCTCTGAGGAGGAGAACGCTTTCGCCAAAGTGTTGCAAGTCTAGCTAGACGATTTAGTGCACAGTACCACCCCATCCATTCATCCATCCACCCATACATCAATCAATCCGCACGCATGACGATGCCCTATCCTACCAGTTTCTTTAACTGTAAACAAGAGGCACTTTGTGGCAACCACAGGCATCATAACATCATATTGCACGAATCAGCTAAGAAAGAGTGACGTGAAACATATACACCAACACCTTTGAAGACGTTTTGTTTTTCATTAAAGCTGAAAATTAATTTTTTCATGCTGCCTGTGAGCTCCACACTCCCGTGCCATATACAGGATGTCTGAGGGTCTGTGCGTTAAGGTACTGTCTCTAAATTGTCATTATGGGCTGAGGCTTAAAAGGACAGTTCAGCAAAATATGAACATTCTGTCATTTACTCACTCATGTTGTTCTAAACCTGTAGGACTTTCATTATAAAATGGACAACAAAAGCAGAAGAAAGTCAATGGGGTTCAAAACAACTTTGCGTTTCATTATACGGACAAAAAAAAAAATCGTATTGTGTGTTCATACAGGTTTGGAATGACATGAGGGCAACAATAATGACAGAAATTTTGGAAGAACAATCCCTTTTAAGAGAAAGATGCTCTTCGCACATTAAACATCCAAAAACCAATCAGCTTACATTAAGACGGACTACCTGCAGAGGGTCTTTTCCAGAATGTGAACGAATACTTTCATAAATAGTCGCTTTATTTTTTTTTTTTCTATTTTATGCTTTCTTAAAAAAAAAAAATATTTTCAGTCATTAAAAACATTTGATTCTATTGGGATGCACAGAGACAATATCTGCCTTTTCACCTACTGTATATTCTCCTACTTTTGATTGCTGTAAAGCATTTCCAAAAAAAAAAAAAAAAAAAAAAAAAAAATACTGTGGACCGCTGACTGAAACCCTGCAAAGACCTGTAACAGTGCAAATGTCTAGTACAATATGTTGCTCTATTATAGTAGCTTTAAATAAGTCAGTGCTTGGGCAGAATGGTAGGTATCAAAGCAGTAGAAGAGTAAGCATTGTCAACTTCAAGTAAGGCAAATAATACCTCCCCTGGGCCCCGCCTCCTCTTCTGAACACAAAGAAAAAGTATAAAACAAAAATGATCAAGCTTAATTTTGGCAGGTTTTCAGTGATGTGATAAAATGTAAACAAAACGAGAATCCTTGATAGGCTTTGCTTTTATTCCTGGATTGGTTAGTGTACAATCTCATGAAGGAAGGCCAGGTCTCCTCCTCATGCGAGGGAAACGTAATCTTTCTCTAAAGGAAGGCGAGATGTACGGTGTCTGTGTGTGTGTGTGTGTGTGTGTGTGTGTGTGCAGAGGGCTGGTGAGAAGAGTGAAGCCTGAACGTTAACAGTACAAGAAAGGCAGCTTACTCACTACCCTTAGTGAAGATTCTTGCCCAAGAGACTGAGAAAAGTTTTGTGTGTGTGTGTGTGTGTTTTTGGTCTGGCAACAGCCAGATGTAAAAAAAAAAAAAAAAAAAAAAAAAAAAGATTTGGCATGCTTAAAAGAAAATTATACATTTAAATATTCTCATATATAGGGCTTTAATATTTCTGAAGCAAGCACAAGACTGAGTAAAATCCGTAGCTGCACTATGCTCATTCCAAAGGGAACAAGGCCTGTTCAAGAACAAAGAAAATAACATTTTAAATGAACTCTAGCTAGTGAGGGCCACCAAATTGTTGCAAGCACCATTGCTGGATAAATGATAGAGATTTCATTAGAACATGCACGATAAGGCTACAAACATGTTTATAGGGAGCCAAAGATCTGATGTCTGACAAAAAACAATGTGAATTCAAATCAAAACTTGCATCCAAGGTTGATACATTCAGAAAAGGGCTTCTCCGTGTTGAGATGCTGTACACCATCAAATCTGACCCGCGATCGCTGTAATGAGCCACGCGGAGCCCTCGCGCAAGATTGATCCGTATCCCACAACACTAAACCGTGAACCGAAACGGAAAACTAAACCAAGAGCCAATTTAAACAAGTGCCAATTTTAAAGGGGGGAACTTGCGAATTAAAAAATGAAGTGCCACCGAGGGACTGTTTATAGATTCAAATCCCATCTGCAGAAGAAAAGAGTGATGGCAACGACTTCCTCCCAAATACAATCAAATTGCAAATGACTTTAGAAACTTCTTTTAGAAAAAAAAACATTGTATACTATTTATTTGACAACATGGAAACTGATTCCAATAACATGCACACCTTCGATCAACATTATTGCAACACTGGTTTCCCTGTTGTGTTGTGTGTTTGCATTAAAAAAAGAGGAGGACAAACAAAATAATAATAATAATACATGGAGCTTTGTGTTTACTGCCAATGTCATGTAGTTTAAAAGAATCATTACCACCTCCACTTTAGCAGTGGTAATAATAATAAATGATGAAAGCACACTGAAATATTCCACTGCAGAGCCCGACTGAAGCGTGGCAGCCTTCCAGCAGCATGAGAAGAGTTTCACAGTAGGTAGGACAGACTAAAGTAGGACAGACATGGGGGCATGAATGCTGATTAAAGCACTGGCCTTGGTGTCAACAGGTTGATGGAGCAGCAAATTTCAATATCCACTGGATGTCTCCCATAAACGATCTCCCATTCTGACCGGGTTTCCTTTCTCGTGTTACAGCATGAACATGTATTTACATGATGCCGTTCTCCACAGAACATCAGTGTTGATACTTCACGGAGAGGGGCAGATGGACAAATGAAAAATTGGTCCGCATTTTTGTCCCTAAAACTGGTGGCGTTTTGTGTGACGTGTCTTACTTCTGCTTGGAGGAAAAAGATTTAGCAAAAAAAAAAAAAAGGAGGGGTTGGTGGGTGAAAAAAAAAAAAAAAAGTACTTGCTTTCAGTTCATATTCAAGTTTTCTCCTTTATACAACTCTATTACGTATGGTTTCTTTTTTTCTTCCCATAAAAATATTTCAAACTTTAGTAATCTGTTCTTCATCATACTGTTCATTTTCAGGGTCCGAGTCTGTTGTGTCCGAATACCGGTAATGGTCCGGTTCATTATCGCTAACATCTGGGGTTACAGATGTAGAAGTGCTGGCCTCCGAGTTGGATGGTTCCTCCACTGTTTTTGTGAAGTACAGCTTCACCTGATTGAAGAAAAAGAACATTTTAGCCAATTGAACATTTGACTTAAAGGATTAGTTCACTTTTGAAAAAACTTTTGCTGATAATTTACTCACCCCCATGTCATCCAAGATGTCCATGTCTTTCTTTCCTCAGTCGAAAAGAAATTTAGGTTTTTGATGAAAACATTCCAGGATTTTTCTCCATATAATGGACTTCAATGGGAACCGGATGGTTCAGGTCCAAAAGATAGTGTTAATAACAGTTACAGATGCAGCTTCAAATGTCTTTAAACGACACCAGACGATGAATAAGGGTCTCATCATGCGAAACGATGGGTTATTTCAAAGCTTATTACAAAAATGTAACTTTTCTAAGGACAAATGCTAGCCTTTCTCCATTCTGAGGCGCGTTCGCAACGTCACGTAGTACGTAATTACGTTCAAAAGGTCACGGACGACGTAGCCAGAAGTACAGAGTCAGAGTGTTTACAAGTTGAACGCATAGGTTGAACGTGAAAACTAACTCAAACGCCGTTTACAAAAAAGGAATTAAAAGGTAAAACAACGATGTCGGACTATTTTGATTCTGTACTTCCGTCTACGTCGCCCGTGACATTTTGAACGTAATTACGTAACGTTACAAACGCGCCTCACAATATATTACAAGGCTAGCATTTGTCCTTAGAAAAGTTACATTTTTGGAATAAGCTTTGAAATAACCGATCGTTTCGCATGATGAGACCCTTATTCATCGTTTGGTGTCGTTTAAAGACATTTGAAGCTGCATCTGAAACTGTTATTAACTGTCGTTTGGACCTTGAACCATCCGGTTCCCATTGAAGTCCATTATATGGAGAAAAATCCTGGAATGTTTTCATCAAAAACCTAAATTTCTTTTCGACTGAGGAAAGAAAGACATGGACATCTTGGATGACATGGGGGTGAGTAAATTATCAGCAAAAGTTTTTTCAAAAGTGAACTAATCCTTTAACACCTGAATGAATAGCATTTGGAGTGCTAACACACCTTGAAGTTTGGAGAGAAGTATCGGTTGGCTTTATCCTTATTGGCTTTATCCAAGTCGTTCTTGGTTAAAGTCAGGATTAGATAATCCTTGTCATTCTCTCCCCGTTCTGTTGTTTGGATTCCATCCAGTTCCTTCACTAAACCTCCGTTTTCAACTTTCTCTGAGCTCTCCTCTGGTCCAGGGATGAAGAAGGTGTTCACCCAGAAGTGAAACATCTTGTCCTGTTGAGAACAAAAATAAGCAAATAAAAGCTACAACCAAGTAGTGTAATAATCTAAAAGAAAATGCAAAACATCTAATAAAATAAGTCTGCAATTACAACTCACATTACTTCAAAGCATATTTAAAAGAAATGTTGATGTTTATTATACCGAACGGCTTATAGCCCACGCTGAGCAGTTTAGAGCGGGGCGATAGGAGAGTTTGTATTCAGCAACGATATAGAAAAATCAAACCATGTGGGTGAAGACTTAAAACAAAATGAAAATAACTGGCTGTAGAAGCGTTTCTCAGAGAAACGAGTATGTGAACTTTGCATATATTGAGGAAGCATGCTAACATATGGTATTTTATGCCTTAGTAGAGTGAAAAAGCTGTAGTCAATTGTATGATTTAAAAGTGGACCACCAAAAAGGTAAGCATACTTTTTTTTTGTGAGTTTTCATTTTTCATGCCTTAAAATAGCTTGAATGTAACTACACCCTTGCTTCGTTTAGTATACGTGGATCCATGAATACGCAAATTGGTCCCCGGCTCCACTCGATCACAAAGTCTCGGAAAACCTGATCCACTTGCTCAACTTTAGTAAATGCTGCACAATGGAAAGTGGAAATACTGGTTTAATTCAGCCATATACGTTTGAACCAGAAAATGGATTCAGAAGAGGAGGAAGGGCGAATTATACAGGTTCGATGTATCAGAACGGTAATGTGTGTTACGTATCGCTTTGTAACATAACCGTAACTGATATGATTAGCCTTTAGATTGACTGTTATCAAACAGCTAATAATGTGTTACTAATGTTACACAAACAATTTTCCTGTTTTCTCAGAGTCCAATTTTTCATATTAACAGAAAAATATACTGGGTTAACCTGACTTCTCTGGGGACTCCCCAACTTAGTTAATGATATGCTAAAGCTGCTCATTGTTAAAGGGTTAGTTCACCCAAAAATGAAAATTCTGTCAGTATTTACTCACCCTCATGTTGTTCCAAACCTCTATGTGTTTATTTGTTCTGCTGAACACAAAGGAAGATATTTGCAATCAAACAGATCTCATTCCCCATTGACTACCATAGTATGTATTTTTTCCTACTATGGTAGTCAATGGGGAATGAGATCTGTTTGACTAAAACATTCTTCCAAATATCTTCCTTTGTGTTCAGCAGAACAAATAAACACATAGAGGTTTGGAACAACATGAGGGTGAGTAAATACTGACAGAATTTTCATTTTTGGGTGAACTAACCCTCTAAGTGTGATTTGCATGGAATGGTTTAATTACGGATAGGTCAATATAAATCAAATGTTCAATACACCTTTAAGTATTTTTATGGTTTTACTTTAGCCCATACGTTGTTGTTTTTTTTAACCTCTTATTACTGAGCTGAGTTAAATCCAGTTCTAAAAAAAAAAGAGCTGGAATTCCAATAATGAGGAAACAGCGGATTAGTCACACGTTTAATGTTCGCAACGTCAGAATTTCTCTCAGCAACAATTTTTCCATCTCCCATTATTTGCATTAACTCTTTTTCCAGCGAACGGAAAAACTTTGCGATACTTCAAGTGATTTAGCTATAAAAACATGGTTCTGGTTAGGGGTGTGCACAAATATTCAAATATTCGATCTGTAATTATTATTCGAAAAATAAAATACTATTAGGCCCATGACACACTGGCTGCGTGCGCGTCCGTTTTTATTTCAGCTCCCATGTTAACAGATTGGAGCTGTGTGACGGCGCGGCGGCTTGAGCCACGCGGAAAACATGTACATGCTAGAAATAGTACTGACGCCTATTTTTCACGCGACACACAAGCGCGTTGGAAGCGTTTTCAGGCAAAATACATACATATTAATAAATTTAAAAATTCAGATAAATATAATTGAAAAAATAAATAATGATCAATTTTCAAATATTGCATCTGTCAATACAGAACATAATATTTTGTAGTCTATTCTGCTGTCAATACTGCTGAGTGTCTTTATCAGTAGGTATATCGCATCGGTATCGGTATATTTATGCTTAACATGAAGTATCAGGCTTCCACAATACGTCCTCCCTGTACGTAAGCGACACGTCAGACATGGTGTGCAAAGACACAGAAAACACGACGCAGCCACCACGCAACCATGCTCACTCCATCACTTCATCACGACTGCAGGTAAAGCGCTGCTGGACCCCGCCGCCACATGATCTGAGATAACTTATCTTATAGCTTAACGATTTTGAGACATACTTCCTTTAAGTTTATTTGATGGAGACCAGTTTAAAAACAGAAAACACAAAGTGAACTTAGAACACCGTTGTCTTTGTGTCTCTGAAGCTTCTGTTAGCGCACGCCTTTTCTCACTCGAGCATAAATTGCTGGCGGCGCCCCTACATGTGGATATTATTGTTTTTCTCAATATAGATCTTATGTAGCCCCGCCCATATTCAGCGCCGCGCTCGTTGTCTTTCGATTTCCGGTCTGTATTTCCACAGCGATCTTGCATAGGTATGAATGAACTGCTCGTAAAAAATTTCCCGGTCGACATTTGTGAAGACATCTGCTTTACAATGCTTATAATAGACATTAGAATGCTCGTGATAACTTTTGTTAACTCTACAATAAGTAAATCCACTTCACCAGCTAATTACTCCGACAGCGATGCCATATAAATATACAAAGCGAACGCAAAAACGGAAGTTCAAAGACAATATTCTAAAGATGACGGCGCCCACCTTTCTCTGGTGCATAAGGTCTACAGTACAAACACGATAATCATACGCTGACTCGAGTGTGCGTGTACGTTCTGTACGATATCTGACACAATCGCTTTATTAGCCATTTTTTTCCCATACGCGCTGCTTGAGCGTGCCTCTATTAAAGCTTGGTTTTTTTTATATTTTTTGTTTACACATAGGCCTAATGTTAAAAGTTTTCAACTTAAAGAAAACTTTAACATATGTAAGCTTGTTGTGTATATTGCCTAATTGTAAGTTTGTTCGGAAATGGTGACAAAAAGTTAAAGCTGCAGTGCGGAGCTTTTTTGTGTTAAAAATTATCCAAAATACATATGAGAAAATACATAACCAGTCAGTATTCAACGCTATCTGCTTGCCATAGCTCTATTCAAAGCGGTCAACTTGTAATGTTTTTCACTCCAGTGTAGGGGTGTAACGGTACACAAAAATCAAGGTTCGGTACGTACCTCGGTTTTATAGGCACGGTTCGGTACGTTTTCGATACAGCAAAAAGAAAGAAATGCCAGAGAAATTTCCTATTTGTTTAAAGAAAAAATATTTTTAAATAAGTGTGAGTTTTCCTAGATCTTGAAACTTTCAGGTTTATAAATAGGGGTCATCTTTGAAGGATGAACAAATAATGTTTTGGTCATCACATTAAAAATAACATTTAAATATATATTTGTTTATATAATATTTGAATTTTGAAGTGCTGGAAAAAGATGTGTGAAGTACTTGAAAGCATTTCACCATTCCAGCCAAACTGGTTCCAGTTAGTGTTACTATATTAAATCCATGGTGAATGTTGCTGGTCTGTGGACGAAAGTATTACTAGTTCATTCGCGGCACAATGTTTCTCCTGGTTTCCATTACAGCGCTGTTTGATCTAATAGAGATCTACGGTTAATAACGGAGAAATGTGAATGCATCTCACTAGATCTCGCAGCGATGTTATTACCTCAGTGGCGAATTCAAATGTTTTCTTTACCGGATCTCTTAGCGCTGTGTAGTAACAGTGTCGCTTGGTCGAGATCGGCTCGCACTGCACAGATGTTGCTGGTCCGAACTGATAAACGATCCATGAAGCACATAATGAGTAGTGCAGTTTCGTTTTGCTTTCATTACGCTTGCCATTTGATGTTGCGCAACGTTGTGTCGGCCGCGTCAGCACGAATTTTGCCGGCTGGAAAAATGGTCCAAGCAATCGTTCGGTTTGTATGCATACCGAACCGGAAGCCTCGAACCGAAACGGTTCAATACGAATAGATGTACCGTTACACCCCTACTCCAGTGGTACTGGTGGATTTCTGCGGGAGAATCAAGCATGTCTTAGCGCCATTATGTCACATCTGTACACATAAAGAAGAGTCTCGGCTAGTCGGCTATATTGCGTGTGAGGATGCTGGAGGTGGAGATTTATAGCCTTTTTCTCACAGCACTTGATATATTTAAACTTATCAATTTGATGGCAGCTCCAGAAAGGTTCAAACGACAATCACCAGTAACAACTAGAGATTCACCCGCTGTAAAATGCAAAAGACTTTGATCAGTCTTCGGAGTGGCTACAGAAAAAAAGAGACTGCAACCGACCCATGTGAAAACAAGGATACATATCGGAAGGACATTACATGTAGTCACGCAATGCTGACGTTGTTAACATTAACAAGTTGAGAACAACGTTTAATTTGCACGGTTTTGCGTGATAAGCGATTGTAAGTTTTAATTAGTGCGATTTACTGCAACGTCAGAGACGGAACAAAAGTGGATGTTACTTGTTCAGATGACATTTTCCGGTGAAAATTATGTTAGTCATATTTCCAAAAAGAATAATCTGTGATTCTGAATCCTAGTATCCATACCGGCACGGTAACTGACAGCTGCACACTCTCCTCAATGTGTTCTAGAGCCAGACCGATATATCGGCAGGCCGATATTAGGCATTTTCCAAACTATCGGTATCGGCAGTTATAATGGCCGATAAATGAATATTTCAAAAATAAAATAAAAACGGACGAAACACGCTTGAACCATGTCATGAGTGTTGGAGTTGTATAGTTTGTCCACCAGAGGGCACTCTACAACGTTCCTGTTGGCAACGCTCGTTGAGTTGGGAACGATACATACATTGCTTGAATAACAATTAAAAGAACATCCCCATCAGTTCTTTTAACTCAAGCATGAAAAAAAATTGTGACTATCATGTCCAGTTTAAAAAAATAAAAATAAACATATAAATAAAATATCGGCCGATATATCGGATTTTAAAACCCAAAAATATTTGTATCGTATCGGCCTTTTAAAATCCTTTATCGGTCGGGCTCCAATGTGTTCATCCGCGCTTGTGCCGAACTACAACTCACGTTAAGTTGATAATTCCGCGAATGACTGCAATTGCAGATTTCGAACAGAGATGGCAACAAATAGGGAAAAATGCGAACTGCAGCTTTAAAAAAAACACAAAAAACACATTTAATAACGTCTTGTTCGTTAAACGTCGTTTAAATAAAGGAATAGTCGATTTTTATGAGCCTGAATATTCTAATGCAATATTTTTGAAAACTGCCCATCCCTAGTTATGGTTTATATCAGCTATGATCTTACTGTGATAGGATTTAGGACATGACATCCACTACTACCATAAAATTGCATCCTTTTAACTATCATTTCAATGCTACATTTACAACTAGATGCAGCAATGAAGATCTGCAAGAGCGCTTTGGGCTGTTTGGGAACTGACACGTACCTTTTTCATCATCTTGTTCTGCTTGTGGAAGAACTCCACCTTGATGTCCCCACAAACCGGCAACGGCTGCGGAAACTCAAAGTACATGTATTTCTCCTCTCGCCTTGTGTGCACTGGGTTGGAAGTGTGGATTTTCACCTTCAGCTGGTACACCACAAACTGAGGATCTGAGAATTAAAACAATGTGTAATTGGCATTCCAGCTCTGTGTAACAAACTAAATGTGAGTTTATGCATGTTAACATGAAACAGAAGAGAAGCATAGAGGAAAACATCAGGATAGAAAGAGTAGAAAAATGGATACAGAAAAGACAAAATAACAGTGGCATGCTAAGGGCCCTATTCTGAGAACTGCTGACGCAGGACCACACTTCCCATCTGCTTTGGATGGGACATCACAAGCGACCACCCAAAAGTGGCGTTAGGGGCTTTTACTTGTACATGGCAAACACATTCTACAAAGTAACACTGGGTAGGCTAACAGAACAGAAAATGAGAAACAATTTTTTTTTAAAAGCTGACGTTACCCCAATGCCAATTGGCTTTTCTGAACCCATGTGGAATCTGCTCACTCTTGCTTTTTACAGCAGAATCCCCTTGGAGAAAAAGAAGGAGATTAAAGACTGTCCAGTGGCCTGGCCAGAGCAAGAGAGAGGGCACTATGAGGTGAAGAAACGTTTAAACGAAGCTAAAAAACACAACACACACACACACGTAGAACTAGTCTATAACAGAACTGGACTGAAATAATAATGAAACTCGCTGTTTGTAGCGAGTACGGCAGGCTTGGTTAGTGTCACCAAGAATGTGTACAGAACAGGGCCTGGAGGAGGTACAGTCATAGACAGAGACATGGATGCTGTGCTACAGCGCCACTGGACAAACTCGCACTCCAAGTAAAGAGTTGGCCCTCTGGAAGCAGAGCTGCCTGGAAAATCTTTACACATTCTTGCCACTTTTGTTTGAATATGACAGCTATGTGCCTAAAGTACATAAAATAGTCCAGGAAGTACATTAGGTCTATCTAGATAAAGGTTAAATGTCTAGGTGCATAGAAAGACAAAAGTTTGAATTTGTAGGGTAGAATTTATAGCAGTTGAAGCAAAAAAGGAAAGCCGCAAGCAGCCGTGAATGCTATTTAGTAAAGCTGCCCCTTGGCACTGTTACGATAGTGAAGTGTGTGCGTGAGGTTGGGGTGAGAGACTTGCGTACACCTGGTATTAATGTCTGAAATGATTCGACAAGTGGGCGGGAGTAAAATGAAGGTAAAAATGGAGGTAACTTTGCAGAAATTCATGATGTTAATATTTGTATAATGTCTAATCTCCCACATTTAGCAATTGAGATGTGGCCGGTAGGGTCATTTGATATCCTAACCACATCCTAAAGGACAGTCTGACTTCCTATCACCATAACAAGAATGAAATATAGCAGCAAGCAGCAATTAAGGGGCCAAGCACAGACCAACTGCAACAATGAGCATTTAAAGACATATTGAGATGATTAGGCAAAATAGCTAAAATATCATAAATACAATCAGTAGTAACATGATTTATTGGTCTATCACTTTCAACCAACAGATGGCGCTGTGACCAAATTGATGTGGCGTGGTCAGAGTGACAATGGCATGCAAAGTTTGGTGTCAATATACTAAAGCATTGCAGAGATGCCACCTCAGAAATGTTTTGACATCATCAAGTCATCAGTTTTATGAAATGGTATAAGAAAACGGTTGTCTATTGACAAGAAATCCATAACTTTTTGCCAGCATGGTCTGGAGATGATCTTCATTACGTTTTTAACGGAAAAAAAAAAAAAATATTCGCAGACAGAAAGTTTGACCGACTATGACAAAATTGGTATCCATGTTTTTGGTTTTACCAAAGGAATCTAATAAGACCCGTTTCATTACAATTGGCAAAACTAATTAAAAACCAACTGTCTTGAAACTAATTGAGTACCTTCAGGGAACAGTGCCAATTGCAAACACAGAGTTTTACAACGATACATCAACGCGTTCATAAAATAGCAAATATAGCATGCTTCACCTAACCTACAGAGAGCAGTTTTGTGATTTTTGGCCAAACCATTTAGACATTATAAGTCAAAACAATCATTTTTATGGTAAGTTATGGTTATTTAAAAAGTACATGCACCATTAAAGTCCCCGTGAACCGGAAGTTGCAAACTATTTTTCTCCAGTGCTGTGACGCATTTCCAAGTGAAACGGAATATTGAACAGAGGGCAGGGTTTTACTCTAGCGCTCCTCCTCTCCATCTCTCGCTCATAGCAAACTAACGGTTTGAGGGGAGTGGTTAAGCGTTTCCCCACCCAAACTGTGAAACCTACGTCATCAGAAAAAGAAACCGTTCCAGACCGGAAGTAACTTTTCAGATTTTGATTAAAGATTACCAAGGCAAAACATTTTTTTTATATATTTTTACGTGCACAGATTAATTGTTAACCACAAGACTAGTAATATGCGCTAACAAAGTTCAATTTTGATTTCACGGGGACTTTAAAACACAATGTTACGAGTGAGCGAGCTGCCTGTGACAAGATGGCCGCCAGGCACAGATGTCGACCTCCATTGGCCAGCAGCGTGGACGAGACATCTAGCCTTTATTATGGATATCTATGCATTTTCTAGTACATTTATTAATAATTTGCACTTTATTTTACAATACGTGCACTAACATAAGTACTTACCAAAAAAGTACTGGGTACTATAAGACAACTACGTGGGCTAACGTTAGGTTTAGGGGTAGGTTCAGGGTTATTAACCAGTTAATGTAACTACTATAATAAGTACAGTATGGGGAACATGACTTTAAAGTGCTAGCTTTTTTTCTAAATTATATATATATATGAAGAGTTCAGATGCAAAAGCCTCTAAGTGCCATTTGAAATTTTGTTCTAGAATGACCATTTTTATCAAGCTTGTGTATTTAAGTTCAGTAATTTCACTTAAATGACAATTAATAGGTAATCTTCATTGCCATTTAAGTGAAATTCCTGAACTTAAATATACAAACTTGATAAAAATGATAATTTTAGAAGAAAATTTCAAATGGCACTTAGAGGCTTTTGCATCTGAACTCTCCATAAATATAAAATAGTAAATTGTTGAATCTGGCTGAAATTTTGAATCTTTATTTTAAATTTTGTTATCCGGTAAACCCATTTATTCACTCCCATGCCACCTTTTTTTTAAAATGCATGTCTCCGTATGAGGCTTTTCAGAGACGGTTCAGTTTAGCAAATAATATAAAAATTTTATGTAACTATTACGATCCAGTATTATAGTTTCTTCTATGTTTTCTGAAACAGCACAGTAAAATGTTTTAGAACACGCAAAAAAAGCAAGACTTTGGGTGTAGAAGCACTGCTTGCACCCTGCCAAACTGCCTGTGATTTCCCATGTGCATCTCATCGAAACAGACCCTGACATTTGTGACTGGCACATCCTGTGTGAAATGGCCTATAGTTAGAATCTCATATGCCAACATTGCATTTGTAATGTAAAAGCTAATGCTTCCTGGAAAACATAGGACCTCCAACTCACCTACTAAACTAAAACAAGAGTTTTAAACTTTGCAGGGTATGTGTAAATGTTGAAAAAGTTGGCAAAAGTCAAGACTGCTCACAAAAGACACAGGAAGTGAAAGTTAATACCAGGTGTATACAGCAATACCTCTCACCAAAGCACTTGTGATCTAATCACCCGAGACGGATGATAATATAAAATATAAACAATAGTGCCAGAAAGTTAAAGAGAAAGAGAACTTACTGCAGGTCCCTCCACTGAACATAGGCACTGTCTCAAACACCATCTTGTGAAAGAGCAAGGCCACAGGTTTGTACTCGAGCTTATTCTTCAGAAGGTAGCTATAGTAGTACACATATCGCCTCTGACTGGGTATAGTCACTCCCTGTGAAATAGAAAACCACAGCGTCAATGAAAACATCTCCTCCGTGGTCTGAATAACACCAGATTTGAGTTATAAAAGGCAACATGACGCATTTGAAACAATGGTTCTAAAGGGGAGTTTAAGCAATGCCACAGAATAATAATTTTGGTTCTTTGAGGAGCATTTTTAATTTAAAGAACCTTTTGCACAATGTAAAGGTTTAATGGATGTTAAAAGTTTCTTCAAGAACCTTTATTTTGTGTGATGAGTGTAGGGTGCAACATTTGGGTTCCAGGATTAATAATCCCAATCATTTTCTCCATAAGGGAACTGATTCACACAGGACTTTTTAAGACCATGGGACGTGGACCTCTATCTCTAGTGAAAATGTTTGTACATTTTAAAATTGAAAATTTAACCTAGCATACTTTTTTAATTTAAAATTAAGCGTGCCAAACCATGTTCAGTGCGCAAATTAAGCAGTAAAAAAAAACAAAACAAAAAAAACTTTAAAGTGGACTTAATCCTCTTTTAGATGTGATAGTGTCTCAGTCAACATTATTCATACTGGTGTTTTAGGAAGCCAAACAATTAGAATATATTCATAATTCTTTTATCATATTATTAACCCATTCGATAGCAACTTGTGCACATGTAAAACAAATGCACTGTAAAATAAATGCAAATGAAAGATCAATTTATTCACTTGCAAGACAAACACTTGAGTTTTTATGAAACTGTAATAGAGCTTTTATTTTGGCAGAAAACTGCAATTCTTATGAAAAAAGGTTTATAAACATCTCATTACAAATCTAGTGAATTGCTGCAATAATCCATCCACAAAAATTCTAGAAATTATGCAAATGTGAAAATGCATAAATCATTCCCGTTGAGTTCCCGAATGGACGCTAAACTCACATTACATATGCAGAGCTAAAGTTTGCTGAATTTCACTATGAACCGAGGCACTGAGATGGAGAGCAAATCCCAACAGACTATCCACTAATTTAAATTCCAACCTTTTGCATTTTTGATAAGGGCACTAAGCCATATCAAGCTTAGCTTTCAATTTTTATTAATTTGACAAGATACTTTGCCAAAGCAAAAGCCCAAAATAAAAGTTAGAAATCTGTTATATTATAAGAAGTTTATGAAAATCAAGTTTTTGATTGTTGTTGATGTCTATGTGGTGTTTTTTAATATGCTTCAAGTCAAACCATGGGCAAATGCATCTGTCAACATCACTGCTGAGTATTTTCTCTTAAAACTGCAGCGCATTAAAGACAGTCTCAAAAACGTGGTTTGAAACCAACACATTCATCACAAACTTGTAACCAATCCTGTGAATGTGTGGGGCGAGGCTTTTTCTAACATTACTTCTAGAAATGCTGATTTTAAGAAGCCAGATGTCTGAGATGGCAAATGGGAACATGGCTTGCGTAATCCTATCAATAACTGGTATGCGTCAACTTTTATTTAAATTCTGAATGGATTATATATAGCCTAGTTACAAAAAGTGATTCAGTCAAGAGAAATGTTATTTTCTTTGTCTTTTGATTTACAGAGAGAAACAGGAAAATTAGGCTGATGTCACTTTAAAGATGAACTGAACTGAAATTTGAAAAAAGGTGACATAACAGATGTATTTTATTAATTATCATTGGTACAATTTTTAAAATGGCATAATTTGTTAAAAGGGATAAAATGGTACATTGAAAGTGTTGTTTTTGTTACACGGGCGCCGCCATGTTGGATTTCAACATTCGACTACGTCACTGGCATGGTAAGCCACTCCGCTGCCTACCCGCACCAGCAGAACAGCCGTAGCTTGTAAACAGTCTGAGGCGCGCTGACATGGCTGAAGAAACAGAATTTTTAGCGACACACTATCTAGAGATATGTACTTTCGTCAATGAGTACATGAAACGTCTGACAATGTCTGCATTAAATGTTTTATTTACACAAGTTACAAGTTCAACACATCACGTTAACGTTACACGAATCCTTGATATTCGGCTGAAGGGAAAAGATTCCTGATGTGTAGTTCACGGTAAAGGATGGGATTCTCCTTTCTAAATGCACCCTCGCACATAGAGTGAACTGCCAGTACGCTGTTAATCTAAACAGTCTGAGAAAAGTATAACAAGTTAGCCCAGCCTAGTCGCCTATTCGTAAAATACCCTGCTACTGATGGGGCGCTCGCGTCTCAGCTCGGACATCCATTAGAGACAGCATAGCCTCCCCCAACACGTTTCTCTCACCGAACAGCATCCGAAATGAACGGTGCATGATGGTGATGCATTTTTCGCCGATCAATAAATGTTTCAGGTTGACCTCTCTGCAAAAGATCGACTCCTGTGCAGTATGCATACTCCACAGCGCTCGCGCCCACAATCACTTCTCCCCAAAAACGATCCTGTACTGTAAGTGAAGCCTAAAACTGATCGTCCTCCATGTGGTGGTAGTCAGACACTACCGGCCTGTCCCTCGCGGGCTCAAATGCGTAATCCATGCCGTTAAAAGTGCTCATTTTCGTCTGTGTATATGGGACCTGCAGCTGTTGTTTATGGTGCTCCGCGGGTCCTACCATGCCAGTGACGTCATCGAAATTGCCAGCGCTAACAAGCGCAATTTTGTGTTGCTTATAAAAAGCTATATTAATATTTTTTATTGAAATGTTTAATGTAATTTACTTTTAATTGTCATAAACAACACGTTTTCATCGTCGATTTTTTTCAGTTCAGTTCATCTTTAAGAGCTTATGCACAGACACAACTATTCTAAAAAACTCAACTATACTATAAAAAAAAAAACAAAGCCCACAACCCTGCACCAAAATTTAGGCCCTGTAACACCAGCACTATTTAACCAGAACAAATTAAACGAATGAGTGAGTGGAGGTGGCGGGTGTCGGAGAGAAGACAGAGTGAGAAAGCCTAGCTCAGTGTATCGATATTGCAGAAAAGGAGTATTGGAATGGTTTCAGATATTTCAGTATCAATGCATTTTGAATGGCATATTCAAAATGCTATTTTAAGGCATGAATCATTTTTTTAAAATATGCCATTGGATTAAATGATTAAATGCAGGTGGGCTTTATAAATATTTCCAGTTCAGGACAAGCAGGACAGGCCGCCAGAGTCTAGGTAACGAATATGAAACACTGATAACTTTTAAAGACACACCTACTGTGAGCTACCAGGTTGTTCTTGTAGCTGATTTGGCTGTTACATGGTTTTAGAATTTTTTTAACAAAGACTTTTTAAATTGATATGAGAAAAACACTTCCAGAACAAAGGCCACTGCAAATGTAGGGGGGCACTGTTGCATTTTACAGAAGAACACTAGGATGTAGGTAGAAGAATTTTTATCATTGGGACTTTGGACTGAAACGCATTAGGCGTTAATATTATTAATAGATCATTCTTATACAACAGCGTTGGTGTAGCTATATCAGTGCACAAAAACATTACAATTTGGTAAGACTAAACTAGGGCTGTCAAACGATTAATCGCGATTAATTGCATCCAAAATAAAAGTTTGTGTTTACATAATATATGTGGGTGCATTGTATATAATTATTTTATCAATATAAATACACACACATGCTTGAATATATTTCAGAAATATTTTCTTGTATATAGATTTATATATAAATTATATTATATATAAATATAATATTTTATATATAAATAATATTGTTTTCTTAAATATACATGCATGTGTGTGTATTTATATATATATATATATATTTATATACAAAATAATTATACACAGTGCACCCACATATATTATGTAAACACAAACTTTTATTTTGAATGCGATTAATCGCGATTAATCTTTTGACAGCCCTAGACTGAACATATTTTCTTCTCTTTCAGTAAGACTAGGGAACTGATACGTGATATGCATTCAATAATGACCTCACAGAGCTTATGGTGTTTTCATTTTAGATCATTTTAGGGATGCACCGATATGAAAATTTTGGCCGATAATAATCCGATAATTCTTTATATTTGAAAGCCGATAACCGATATATTGGACGATAAACTTAAATCCAAATTAATATCTGATTTTGAGAGCCTGATTACAAGAACAAAAGTCTCACAATTAAATCCATGTCCATGTTATAGTGTTGTATAGCCAATGACAGATTTGCGCTGCACACGTTGTACCGAACCGTATATTTCAATCATATTTCAAGAAATTCAAAACAAACAGTGCTCAACAAGTGTCTCAGCTGAAGCTTTAATATATCGACCACATTTTGGCCAATAACATTAAAAATGAACATATATCGGCCGATACCGATATGCTGGCCGATATCTTGTGCATCCCTAATTTTAGATCATCAAAACAGGTTCAAACAGCCCTTGGACTATGACAACTGATTTTTAAAATGATAAAATATATCAAAAACATTTGACCTTGTGATTTACATTTCTATACAAAAACTTGAACGAGAACAGTTTTTTTGGAAAAGGAAACCAAGCAAAAATGTATACATCACCTTCTTGTCTCTGGTTCGAACTTCACCATAGAAGTCCAGAGCCTCTTGTGCTTTTTTGAATTTGCCTCGGTGTAACAAGTACGCACAAATCATGACACCCGTACGTCCCTTTCCAGCTTTGCAGTGAATGGCAGCCACATGATTGTCATTTTCACTGAGCCACTTATCCAGATCTTCACAGAAAGGCTTAATAAGCTCTAGCTGAGGAGGATTGTGGTCTTCAAATGGATACTGTGCAACTGCAAGAGAGAGAGAAAAAAAAGAGTTAATTAAGAGACCTTCGTTATCATCACCACACACACAAAAAAACACATTTCAGAGCCATCTGTAAAGAGCTGATTTCTGCAATCCGAGCATCTTACCTCTGCAGTTAAATTTGGCAGTATCATAATGTCTTTCTGCACATCTAAACACCACAAAGAAAAACAGATGAGTACAAAAGTTCAATGTAACACTTTTCTACAAAGAACTCTGAATCAATGCCAAAACCAACAGAACATTCTCAACTAAATAACAAGACTATTTGCAATGACAATGTACTCTATTCACAACGATCAAATGCTTGTTTTCTTTAATCTTCAATTGAACATCAGTAAAATCCATTACATTGAAAACCAAAGTTTTTTGAAATGCACTTACAGATTATATATCTTGTAATAGTTTTTATGCTTCGAGTCCAAGAATCTGCAGAAAGAGGACAAAAACATTACGTTTTGTTGAAGAAATGGTTCACCCTTCAATACCTCTAAATAATTACTCGCCTTTATCTTCCAAATCCTTTATTCTTTCAATGAATCTGATAGATTTCTATCCCTCCACCAAAACAGATGCTTCAAAAGGTTAATAAATCCAAGCTCAAACACGCTTGCGTGACATAGGAGCACAAACCTCATTGGTTCTCACGTCAAGCAAGTACGATTGACAAGCTAGATTTACCATATTTGATGTACCTCATGTATGTACACTTGGTTATGTCAATAAATACATATATATACCCCCGCCGTATTTTCTTCCAAATATAATCATTTTGACCTTCTGGTACGATACTTTGATATTTCCAATCTGGCGACACTGGTGACCTCCCTTCAAACACACGACAGTAGCGAGCAAAGTTGTTGCAATAAACGGTACATGTTGACGGTGAGGATGCCCCTTCCTCATTCAAATCTGAGGTGTGCCAACATTTTGACTTTCCGAAGTGGTTACAGACAAAACAAAACGAGTCTCCTCCATCTGTACGTAAAATGCTATTAATAGGCCAGACCAGCAGATTTGAGCCCCCCCTCGCTGTGACGAGTGTGAGAGCCACAGAGATCACAAGGTGCATTCATGGCCAAAGATATGAGGCTGTTTTCTGTCATAGAAAATTAATTCCGGGCTCTTCTCATCTAAAGAAAGACCAGCGCGAGGATACTATGTCTTTCTCTAAATGTGTACATACATGTTTTATTAATTTGTTGATTATTATGGCACATTTATTTTAATGCGTTTTATTTTTACAACTCTTAGTGTTAATGTGTAATGAGACAAACTATAACATCTTTCCTTTACAACAATGTAAAATCCCTGACACCGTTGTACTATTATTTCAGTAATTTCTCTGAGCAGGACGAGAGAGGAATAACAGAGCGGCCTCTCGATCAGACAGACTCGGAAGATCCCCTTGGAGGGACTTTTAAAGGATTTGTTTTAAAATGTCTATTTAGTTTTATTATTTAACATAAAATATATTTAAATGTTTACAAAAGAAATGTGCAGCATTTTGTCTAAGAAAAAAAAATTAAATTCTCTTCTATAATTTAATTTTGTTAAAAGAAAATCGTGAGAAAATCGTATTGTAAAACCAGTATCTTGAATTATATCGCATTGAGAGTTGAGTGAATTGTTACATCTGTAATGTTTATCAATCATATAAAGCGACCGTGTCACTTTAAGTTTGAATTATTTGAGTTATGAATCATTTGAATTTAAGTGCTTGATTCATATGGATTTCTTTTACACCCTCTGTATGAAAATTTTAAACCATCAAAGTTTTGGTGGAATACTTTTTAAAATGGTGGAAATAAAATCTCTAAGGTTTAATTAAAGATATCTCCATATGTTTCAAGATGATACAGAACTCTGATGGGTTTAGAATGAAATGAGGTTGCCTTTATACACACCACAAATTGTGCCAGGCTATTTCAATACACATGATTATGAAAAAAAAAAAAAAAAAAAAAAAAAAAATCTACATTTCACCCATAAGTCTTAAGCCTAAAGTAAACTTCTTTTTTTTTCTAAGTGTACCTTTGCGTAAGCCTTTCAAAGTATACTCCACTAGTGTGAGTGAAAGCAGGCGGTCGATGAATGCTCTTTGTGTCCGCACTATTTTTCTCCAGAAGTTATAACTGATCAAATATCTTTGTAAGTTGGGGAAAAAATATAGGCCTACTTTTAAACTAAACTGGTAGTAGGTGGCGGCAAGTGATTGTTTTAATAATGAGTCATGAAGTCATTCCTACAACCGATTCGTTCAGGAATGAGGCAGTTGTTTATGCGGTAGGACATATTTGACAATCAATTTGTTTAAAACGCTGAATAATTCAGAAATGAAAACAGCGCGCTGCTGTGAGATGCACTATGATTCTGCTGAAATCTTTGTTTAGAACTATTTTCACTGCTGAAACAACAAAAGCAGTCAATATTCTGTCTAAAATGTAAGTGACTTATTATTATTTATTTATTGAAGTAAATGTAAGTGACTTATTATTATTTATTTATTGAAGTGTCGAATTAAATCGGTCAGATTTTCAATCGTGATATATTCAGGAAAACAGAACTCTTGGTTGTGTGATGTTGCTTAATTCCTATCATATTACATTTTTTACCATAGTATTTTAACAGGTTATTTGTGTCTGCTGGGCTTATTTGTTTTCATTTCTCCTCGAGAGGCTGCGATAGCCTTAACAGCACAACCTAGTAACCGCCAGTACATTATAGCTACATTTAATAATATTATCCACTATCGATTGTCACTTACACCACGTCTAATACAATTAGAGTCAGAGACAGAGTTATTCTCACGTTTTGGTGATTCCCTAGTTCTTTTTTTTTAGGCTACTTTCTCTTACAAAAAAAAAAAAAAAACTCGTCTCGGACTAGCATTAATGTCGAGCCCTGAAAACCGAAGTACACTTTAGCGGCTAGCCATTAGACAAATGTCACCGAGCAACAATGGATGACTAGAATTAAATGTCTAATGAAGTTAATTGTATGGACAAAATTATACAAAACCATTATTTTAACCTGAAAAGACCACTTTTTTAAGGCTAATATTTACTCTCAACCGATTTACATCACAAATGCATTTATTCATAGGACTATGGATTAGCATATATGAATGACACACTGCCTAAACATAAGTTACACATTTCTTAAAACATCAATGAATGTAAACTCAAAGCAGTGCAAGAGGTTTAGGATGCATGGTGTAACAGGCCTAGTCAAACACAGCTGTAAATATCAGCTTTAGCTTCTTTTTTTTTCTGCTACGACATGGGTTGTAAATGTTAAAAGTGACTCACAGATATAGAAAGGTTATACCGACTAAATCTCCAGAGACAGACAATACACAAAGTGAATACTTACCTTACGACGTCGTCAATGTTATTCCTGTATACACCCTCAAGTCTTTCAGCCGGAAAACCCATTGCTATAATATTTGGGTATATATCTGGACAGCAACGTTAGGGAAATCTAGAGAAGTCTGGGTTAGGGTTTAAAAAAAATAAATAAATACAATCATCTGACTAAACAAACCCATTTCTAAAGTCCACTGGAGTGGCTGCTTGTCGTACACATTTATAACAACCAGTTAAACACATTAATTGTATCCAAAACTCTGAGGCGATGTTAGCGAACAATGCAGAGCAGCAAAATGATGCCACAACGAGCAAGCAAACTAACAAAAATCAAACCCGGGTTTCAGCTGAGAACTTCAGCATTTCCACTAATGCAGCGCTTTACCTTTTAGTTGTGCAATGAGAGCTCAGATAACAGAATTCTGGGTAATATAGAACAGATGGCTCTCGCTGTAAGAGACCAATGCATAGACCTCTAACCCAGAGGGCCACACAGGGGCACTAAATAAATCACACTGCGCCTCAGCCCAGTCTGGAATCACTTTCCGTCCTCACTTTTCCATAACGAGTGCATCACTTCTTCAGCCTGACATACACGAGCAGATCTTTATCTTTATTAATAAAGACAATCTAATAAGACCCCGATACAGCAGATTAATTACATCCCTGATGGTAGCAGAGACATTCTAATAATATCCATCAATAATTTTTTTTTTTTACAATTTCTCTCCAATAATAAAATCAATTGATTTCTGACAGAATGCTCTTTAAAAAAAAGGAGAAAAAAAAAAAAAAAAAGAAACATCTAGTCTGGAGTAGATTACGGTAAGAAACGTCTTCCTGTGTTCTCAGATGGTGTAGCATGTGGTTCTCACTCCTGATCTGGCAAACTTGACATTTGAGCAAGCAGAAAACATTTGGACAGATATTTGGATTCAAGCACAGAGATGGTGTGATTCTTATAAGCCATAGAGGCGGTGTTTTTAAATATATATTATGTCTAAGTGATTCACATACCCATGACACAGAAAACATGCATGTTAACTTGTAAAACGTGCTATGGGTCTGCATTTTTAATGGTCGAGAAGCCAAAAGTCTTCTTTGAACCGAAGTCTGCAGAAATACACGTGTTTAGTAAACATCAGATCTTGTCAAATTTAAGCAATTGGGATATTCATCAATATCACCAACGTGTTTATCTCTAAAAAAAGCTCGTTATATACATTCTCAGAGCAAAATATGCAGAAACATTCACAACAATGACGTCTAGCTTACAAAGATATGTGCACAAAGTTATCCAAATTCAAATCAGCGTGACCTTTTTCGGTCACAGTGTATCTGACCATATCTCTTAAGATACAGGCCATGCATAATTGTAAACCAGTTAAAAACATAATACACTGAATAAATAATGTCATGTATGTTAGTCACGATTGAGTCTATAGCAATATTAATGTCAAGCTATTATTTCAAATATGCAAGTAATCTTTTAGGCTATTAAATTATGATGAAAATCTATTGATAATGAATAACTGGGTAAGTTTTTGCAGTGGAGAAAATCCTGGCTGGAAAAAAAAGTTATTATTTAAAAAAAATCTACATTATTTAGTTATTATTAAAAAAAAGTTATTATTTAAAAAAAATCTATTATTTAAATAAAAAAGACCTTTTGAGGTCTGTGTGAGCAATCCTGAGGGCAGTGTCTCCATCCAGAGATGATTTGTGCCAATTTTAATCTAATCTAGATACATTTACATGAGTCATGGGGGAGGGGGAGTCTGGGTAATATGTTTAACGCCTTGCGATCATGCACGTTTTATTTTATCAGTGTCGTGGACTGTTGATTTATCAGTAAGGATCAATAAATTGGGAATAAAGTCATCACATCTATTCTTTGAACAATTCTGTGAATGAGGCCAGCATTCCACTTCAACTGTGCGTGTATGTGTTTTAAACGCAATGAGTGCATAGCATAATGCAACATTGTGTCAAAGTGGGAGCCCAAACACCATCTGATCAGGCGAAATCAATACCCATGCAATCAATTCATTCACAGTGTACTCATGTGGTACACTAAAGCAAAGTAGCATCCTTGTTTAGTGTAAATAGAGAATATTACAAAATTCTTGAAACAACATGCATCAAACATGCCAGGTTGTTATAGTGCTATAAAATAATTGCACCTCTTGGATGATTTTATTCTGCCCTCCAACTGTCCTTCCAGCCCTATGTCTTAATGTTTTACATCTGCCTTTCTTGTATATAACCGGACAACAAAGAGCAGGCCAGTTAAGTGTACAGGACTATAACGGGCATCTTCAATAACACCGAATCCTGCTTAAATAAAACAAAATATCATGCTTTGCACTTGATCTTCAAGAATATAAAGCACCAAATCACAAAACCAACAATGTATCTGTACTTTAAAGTCACAAATGACATTGACATATGGCACATAACAGTGAGCAGGCATCAATGACGTTTCTAAATTAAAGCGCAACAGAGGGAGTCCTCTTTAACAGGACCGCACGAATCCCTTCCTGCGATTGCAAAAAAAAAAAAAAAAAAAAAAAAAAAATGACATACTTCACATACAAAAGCATTTCCTTTTGTTCCCAAGCGGACTCGTTTTTGCTCAATCAAAACTAACCCAAGTTGAGCGCGAGATCTATTTTCTGCGAGCAGCTGATGCAATGGCTCTTTGTGTGACACTGCTTGTGCATTTCATCTAATCCATCGCATTATATAAGCCAGCAATACCTCTATGCGACGCATCTTTTGTTTTAAACCCCCCAAACTGCAGTTTTCGTGCGAGAAGCCTTGAGTTGAAATGAACGCAGGATTAACAGAGTCGCCGTCAATCGATATATCAGATTACGTAAGAAAGGGGGCAAATGACATCTTACAACCTCGCTGGCTTTGCTTTTATTGTAGTCTACACATGCATCTTGCGGACATGCCTCGAAAAACTGTACTAATGAAATAAGTGCGCGTGCAGTCTGTTGATTTTCTGTCTGCTCGATAACTTGGTTAAATTGACAACTGACATGAATCTGAAAGGCGCTGACTTAGACTTGATCCAGTTACAAAAACCAATAGGTCTAGATCATGTCAAGCTCCAGTCGCCGACTAAGTGCCAGTACCAATAGTTTGTGCAAAGCGAGAGAAAAAAAATCACTTAAAATCAATTTAATAAAAATTTCCCCTTGTACCTTCTGATGAAAAGTCAGAGATTTCTCGACTTGGAACAAGATGCAAGCCATTAACGTTACCTTCATTGCAGACACTGGTTTCTACACAATAGACAGAACAGGGACATTTGATCGATCAAAGAGGATACATGTAAGGTCCAAGTCGAACCCATCTTCCTGGTATCTCCTTTTGTTTCGACTGACAAATTCCTTTATGATCGCAGCCATTGCTGTGAAAGGAGTCTTTAAGGTTTTTAGTGTGAGAGGGAGTATTGTTGCTTTCCGACGACACGTCGTCTTTATGATCTGCTGGTTTCGCAGTCCCCCTGCTAGCTAGTATTGAGTCTGCTGTGGCTCTCTCATCAAGGGCCTCGCTCCAAACCACCACAGGCCCGGCTTCCAAAATGCCCTCCTCGGCTCAGACGAGCCCCGGGTGAAACAATAAGCAACTTCCCACGTCTCGAACTGCAGAATTTCTAGAGCACGACAAGTCTCTGGTCGCACCGTAGCCGCCGTGATTGAGCGCAAAGGCGGAGAGAGGATCCTCTCCGGGCGCTTCACGGTTGTCAGAACCCCGCTCGCACTCCGCTCGCGCTCCGTCTAGCCGCTAGCTTCAACGGCTAGCGCACTAGCTCGTCTACACATCCTTAAAAAATAAAAGCCACCGAACATACAACAATCCACGATGCTCAGGTCCCAACACATATATGAAAGGTGACAGCCTCCACCAAGAAATTAAAAACTCGATTTTTTTTTTAAATGTCGCGTAGGGGCGGTCTCCAGTTCGGTCCTTTTCATTCACTTCTCCCCTGTTAAACTCTCAAACTTCCATCATGGCTTCCCATTGAAAAAGATGACGTGCAGACAACATATTCATCCGCTGTGACAAATAGTTCCATTGATACAACATTTTATAATTATGTCAATGCTTTTTCTGTATTTCAGAATATAAATACACAAATTATTAGGTTAACACCAGTTATGACATTAAATAAATAAATACGTTAACTATTTTTTATGGGTAAAGTAACAGCAAGCGGAAGAATGGAGACAGAGCACAACCGGACTACTTTTTGTTCCAGGGTCACGTGTATACAGAAATGAGGGAAGTTTCCAATATTTTATATCGGATTTCAATTCAGTAGTGTAGTTATTACGCACCAGCATTATTGTTTCCTTTGGAATAATTATGTATTGGTTCGGCACATCATGACTGAAAAGAACAACATGTAGCTGTATTTTGAAACACTCCTTGTTACGGGGGAAATATCAGAATGCGTCTAGTTAACGTTACCCCAAACACCAATGCCTCTACTACCCTGCATAGAAGGCAGGAAATTACTGAAATGCTTACGCAAGCACAAAAGTAATTTACTACATAAAGGCACAAACACACAATTTGGCAATTATAAATGAAATTATAGAAATTAATTGCGCCAACGTAAGATGCTAATTTGTTACCATGTTCTATTTTGCTCAAATGTGCATTTTGCCCCCAAGGACGGAACGGAGGTGGAAAGTTCTAGCTGCGTTTCAGATGGCAAATTGTTATTGTACAGCGCCATCTGTCAGAAAATTTTTGAATGAAGGTCCATGGAGATTACAAAGACATGCTTTCCAGTTCAAGTTCCAGTTCCCTTTCTAAATGGTTTCAAAAGATCCTTCTTACGGAAACGTTAAGTAGCATTACAATTTTTAAATAAAAAATACAAAGAGATCAGTTACTTTAAATAAATTACTTTATAGTTGGATGTAATGAAAACCTCCTTTTTAAAGATGTTGTGGTATATTAAAGTTTTGTCATTCTTTTCTAACAATAACAGCAGCAAAACTATCAAATGTATGCTCATATTTTGGTGCTTTATATGTATAGAGTAGCCATATTTGCTGTTGTTTCTAATTTATTTAGGCTATGTTTAATTTGAATGTTGGATATATTCAAATAATGAATGTTGTTTATTTATTTATTTTATTCTATCTATCTATCTATCTATCTATCTATCTATCTATCTATCTGTCTGTCTATCTCAAGTTAGTATAGAATAATAAAACGTCAATGCTTCAGTTGTGAGGTGGATGGATTATCTCGGCAAAGGAGAAGCCTTTTGTGTAAATAGAAAAAGTATTAGATCTTTGAGTTTAGCTCATGAAAAATGGGGGCAAAAACAAAAGTCTTGCACTTAATTTTGTTCGGTGTACTGTATATCTATTTCGGCTCTTCATAAGGTTATTTAAGGCAACAGTCAGGCAGGATATGCTAATGCTTCCAACAAATGATTTCCATTACACAAGAGTAGATGTTAAAACTTCTTGCTGATTTGCACTTGGCTTTCATCAAGATAAGCACCAAAGACGTATAGCTTTACAAGTTGGTTTATGGGTGGTGATGGCGCAGTGGATGAGACACATGCCTTTGGTGTGAGAGACCTGGGTTCGAATCCACTGTGAGACTGAGACACCAATGTATCCCTGAGCATGACACTTAACCCCTAGTTGCTCCAGAGGTGTGCGACCTCTGACACAGCAATTGTAAGTCGCTTTGGATAAAAGCTTCAGATAAATGTAAATGTAGCTTTAAAGTAAGCTATGCGTCTCCATCCTTTTACACTTCTTCCATATGGTGATATGAATATCCTTCTGTCTGGTGAAGTAGCTATATTTCCTGGCCCGTCAGCACACACAACGACTGTGATGCTGGCTCCGGGGATCAACCACGTGTGGTCTAGCATGACAACCGTCTGGATTGAACTGATATGGTACGTCTCTGGGGTCTTCACGTCCTTCTGTCCTCAGTGTTTGGTCGACTTGCCCATGACACCTCGAGAGGGCTCGACAGTGATTCTGGCGTCCCAGAGTCACCCCACTCCATCCCTCACTCAACTCTTACTTACCTGTACATCAGCCTTTCTTTCTTTATTGTGCTTGAGATCCCTCCTGCTGCTGAGGTTGCTCCTTCCTCGTAGTTCAGTGGCATAAACCCTTGATGTGACCTAACCACAATCTCCTCACCATAATCTCCTAACCACAATCTCTAACGCCACAATCTCACCGCAACCCAACCACACGGGCCAGCCCGTTTGACTAAGGTTGTAAAAGCCCCACTGTCGTTGTTAATGCAGGTTCAGTTGCAACGGTTCCATATAGCACCCTACCGCAAAACACAATATCTGTCCAACACAATTCCTCATTCACGCAAAATACAGTACACAGGATTGTAATAACTATGATAACTTAGCAAACTATACAAATAATCCAACTGACTTCAAGAATGCTTCGAAACCGTAGCGTGGCGGTCTGTACACAGCCAGCCAGAATCTTTCCGTCTCAACCACAGCCTGTTGCTGCTCGTTTCTGCTGCTTCAGATAAGTTCTTTACTGTGCCACGCAACTCTTGGCCACTGAATCCGATGTCTCTGAGGGTGTTTCCGATGTCTGAGGTTTTGAACAATATGAGGGTGAGTAAATACTGACAGAATTTTAAGAGTATTAAGAACGTATAAGAGTCTGGTAGGGGCTACATTCTTGCAAGTAAATAACACATGATTAGACGGACAAAATAATCGGTCAGGATAACTATCCCATGTCCACAGACTGATAGTCATGTTTGTTATTTATTTTTCTGGTGAAAGGGTCTTGCCTCAGGCTGTAATGCAAATCGATTTTTTAAATTTGCAGATTCATTGCAGCTTCATATTATAATATTAACGACATGGCTATTATCTACCACACAAACATTGAATTAGCATTTCCATTATGTAAAACAGTAGCCACTAGCCAATAGGCTAACATTATTTTAAAGACGCTGGCTTGTAAACGTGAGCTATGCAATCTTTTGACATTTGAAAAAAATAAAGCCCATGAAACTATATTCATATGACATGCAGAAATATATGCCAATGTACCTGGGATGAAGACATTTCACACACAACACTGGAGTCAGCCCAAGATGTGAGAACTCCTTCTGCAGAGTCCGGGGTATCGCTTCTCAACACATTTTTTTTTTTACCAACGTTTTCCTCTTGTAATTGTAATATTAATTTTAAAAAATCAATTAAGAAACACAAGATTTTCTGTGTCTCCTTGGTCCCTTTACAATGAGGATGCATTTTCCAGCAGGGTGCATAAAGTTGCCAAGTTTCTGACATCATTGAAGGCAGGCATGGACAAGGGGGTAATCCATCGACCGGAAGTTAAAGCCGGCCGGGTGCCGCCATCTTGTAGCAGAACTTCACTTGAGTTAGCATTTCCATTGACTCCCATTCATTTTGGCGTCACTTTGACAGCAAATAACTTTACATCTGAGGCGTTTGAGACTCCATTTGTCCATTATTTATTTCTAAAGAAACACGACAATGTATAAAATGCTCCATTTCCTTGTAGCTTATGTTATGGCCCCATAGAAGCAGTTTTTTTGTAAAAGTAGGCTAACGATTGCATCATAACCAAGCGACTCTCTGTCGCACAGTGGAGAGATTACCGTATGGACAGGAGAAGAAGCTTGCGCGCAATCGGGGAAACGTGGAGGCAAAATGACAAAATAATTAATCAGAATACCAAGCAAAAGTTTCTCCTGCTCCTAGCTCATGGACAGCTCCTACTCACACTCTCCGCCTGCAAGTTTCGGGAGGGAATGATTCAGATTTCTCATGCCACAGCCACTAAAGACAGACGGGTTGCTCTCGTTACATCTACGTCGTCAAGCTCTGTTTGAGTCGGTTTGAATCTGCGCGTCAGGAACGGAACTCCAAAAAAATCGCTAAAAATGGGCTTCACTTGTCTCAACTGAGTTCCAATGAGATGGCTCTATCCACTTCTTATACTGTCTAACTGCTTGAGGTGGTGCAAACCTAAGCTAATAGAACTCACCTTAACAAGTTATTTTGATTAAAGATTACAAGGGCACAGATAAACCATTTATAATAAACGCTGCAATATTCCGTTTAAATATCCGTTATATAGACAAGAATGGTCCATTTGATTTCATGGTGACTTTACCAGGCAAGTGTAACGGCGTTCCAGACTCCTATCCAGTTGGTGGCGGTAATGCACCTAAGCTGGTTTGCCAACCGCCATTAAAACTTAGAAGAAGAAGAGGAAGAAGACGACGAAGAAGAAGATGGTGAATGAATAGTAGCCTAATATGCGGTAGAAAAAGAGAAAAAAAAGCCTGATTTCTGGAAGTAAATTAATTGTTTTATTAAAAGGAAGCTGCTTTTTTTAAACAGTATTTCCAAGACTCAATAATAAAGACGCTTCTGGTAAGTCGTGATCTTTTTGAGATGCAGGAAGGTCACAATATCCTCATTTAAGTAACATCAGCTCTTCAGTGAAAATGAAAGTAAACTGCGATGACACATCATCGGATTAATATAACAAGTGAGATTTGACAGAAATGTGCCTACTTCGCGTATAAGATGCGTCTGTACTGTATATCTATGTTTATTTAATACATGCTCCGGACAGAACTTCGTGCCATTTCAAAACGTGCTGTTTTTTTTATCAGTGGATCGATAATTAAGCGCATCGGCGTGCCAAGGTGTGAACACTTTATTGAATATTTTGAGCACGGAGATGAGATTTTTGCCTCTGCCATCACACAGGGCCTGTCCTAATATCCACACTTGCTGCCTTTGCACATGGCCTCTTGTGTACGTAAATGCAGCCCGTTCTCATCCTTTAGCGTGACATAAAACGCTATACGACAAAACGGCGCTAAATGATGTGTTTAATGTATTTGGCACAAGTGTTTGAGTGGGCGTTTGGTGCATAGATGCAAGTTTTTACAGTGCTTTATTTACATATTTTGATTTTCTATACTTTGCACTTTAAAATATCTTGTTTATAAGTCCTTATGTAACAGAAGACACAATTAATTGAGATGTTTCTAATTAAGTGATAAAAAACGTTCTGCAAAAATACTATGTGCAAACACTGTGCTTTACTGCCAAATTATATGTAATATCTAAGTAATTCATTTAACTTATACTTTAAAAAGTCTTGACATTTCACTATTTCAGGCCACGCGAGTTCCTAAAAGTGATGAGTGATGTCATACAGTATGTTTAGCCTTCAATACTTCTCTGCTGCAGTATTAGAGATGGTGTGTATTTGTCAAGGGCACTGTTTTGGCTGGTTTCAGAACTGTGGTAGTCTTTTTTACTATTGTGTACATGCTCTCATGTAGCGAAGACTGCGTTTATGAGTATTAGTGGGACATGCCCATATTTTCATCTGGACAGCTTAATTTACTATCTTTTCTTTTTTTTTTTTTGTAGATGAAAGTTCATACGTAAAATAAAGTTCTTTAAAACCCCCCCTAGTTTTATTATAACACTATTTGTATGGTGTGTTTTTGCAGGTGAATGTGAGAAGATGGTATTAAAAGAGATTCCAACAGACAATATCACTCGCCCTTTGGGTCGGAATGAGGTCATAGGTTTACTCTTCCGCCTCACAATATTTGGTGCTGTCACTTATTTTACAATAAAGTGGATGGTTGATGCTATTGATCCAACAAGAAAACAGAAAGTTGAGGCACAAAAACAGGTATGCAGTTTAATTTCAGGGGAATTTACATTTTTGTGATTTCCAGACATGGAAAAGCAATGCAGTTTAACTGTTTAGATGTGGGTCTAAGTCTTAAAGGAGTAGTTCACTTTTAAAAAAAACTTTTGCTGATAATTTACTCACCCCATGTCATCCAAGATGTCCATGTCATTCTTTCTTCAGTCGAAAAGAAATTAAGGTTTTTGATGAAAACATTCCAGGATTTTTCTCCATATAATGCACTTGAACCAAAATGAACGAATCTTTTTCCGAGTCAATTCGTTCATTTTGTTCGTTGAATGAACCAAATGACACGAAAAAAGATTTGTTCATTTTGATAAATGAGTTTGAACAGGAGAGTCATGAACGCGCATCACAGAACAGAGCAAGGCGACCATTCGGGCTTAAACTTTGTTTTTGTTTTTTTGTTCGCTTCGTTTCGTTTCGCTTGTTCAGACCCTTATTCATCGTCTGGATTCGTTTAAAGCCCTTTGAACAGTTTGCACTGAAACTCTCTTTTGGACCTTGAACCGTTTGGTTCCCACTGAAGTCCATTATATAGAGAAAAATCCTGGAATGTTTTCATCAAAAACCTTAATTTCTTTTGGACTGAAGAAAGAAAGACATGGATATCTTCGATGACATGGGGGTGAGTAAATTATCAGCAAAAGTTTTTTTTAAAAGTGAACTACTCCTTTAAGTATAATTTCACTGCAGGTTTATAACTTTTGACAATCCTTAGCATCACCAAAGGCTGGAGTGTAATCATGTGAGGTTTTGTTGCCCCCTCGCAGGCAGAGAAACTCATGCGGCAGATTGGAGTACAGAATGTGAAGCTTTCTGAATATGAGATGAGTATTGCTGCTCATCTTGTGGATCCGTTGACTATGCAGGTGAGGAATGATGTCACCATCTGACTTTATTTACCAGTAGTTATTTGTCTCTCTCTACTTTTGTTTTGTTAAGAGAATGCAAGTCATTGAAACACAAATCATTTGTGTGTCCACAGATTACATGGCATGACATTGCAGGTCTGGATGAAGTCATAACCGAACTGAAAGACACCGTTATACTTCCGATCCAGAAGAGACATCTGTTTGAAGGATCCAGACTTCTTCAACCTCCCAAAGGTAGGCAGTAGGATGAAAATGTTTCTATAAAGTGTTTCAACTCCACACTTTATTCTGAGGTGGTTTGCCTGTGATCTTCTCAGGTGTGTTGCTGTATGGGCCTCCAGGCTGTGGGAAAACTCTTATAGCCAAAGCTACCGCCAAAGAGGCTGGATTCCGCTTCATCAACCTGCAGCCTTCCACCCTCACTGACAAATGGTACGGAGAGTCCCAGAAACTAGCCGCAGCCGTGTTTTCTCTGGCCATCAAGCTACAGCCCTCTATTATCTTCATCGATGAGATTGGTAAATACTTATGTTGATTTTTATGCTTTGCATTTCCTTCATCCTTCCCAGTAGTTATCATTTAAGCTATGCTTTTAAAGCTTGATCTCTTTAGCTTCATGGCACATTTATGAAGTCTACTTTTGAACGTAACTTCCTGTTGCTCCTTTACAATCACATAATATGGCAATAAGTGGAAGATTCTGTATAGTTGTCTTTTTTTAATAACTTATATTGTCTTAATGTGTTAGATTCCTTCTTGAGGAATCGCTCAAGTTCAGATCATGAGGCCACTGCCATGATGAAGGCTCAGTTCATGAGCCTATGGGATGGGCTGGAAACTGACTACAACTGCCAGGTACAAATCCGCATCTTTTGTGAGGTTTACTGGCAGTGTTGTGTGTAACGCGTTACAAAGTACAAAATTTGGTAACGAAACGTAGTTCCTTTTTCAATTCGGCGAAACGTTACTTTTCCCAGGGACAGATTTGATCAGATCAGATCTCTGTGAATGCCTACAGAGAGAAATGCACATAATGGATTACATTATCAGAGAGTAGCCTATTCCTTTTCGTTTTGAATTGTTTCGTTTAAAGACATTTCAAGCTTTATATATATATATAGAGAGAGAGAGAGAGAGCTTCTTATTTATTAAATCCAGGCAATAGGCTTTATGCCGTGCGTCACGTGACCAAACCAGACAACGGATCTCATCGCATCCGCTTGTCAGAGAAAGTGTTCAACGGCCGTAAGAACTGACTACGATATCTATGGATTTTTAAGGTAATCAGCTAACCTAACTAGTTCACTTTGTTATTGGCGTTTTATTCCATTTAAATATCTAAACATTACTGTGAAGAAGAAAAAATATAAAACGTTTAAATATCTGCACATGTGGGGGATATTGGTTATGCTAATCTTTGCTCGCTCCTTTTAAGTTATCTTGAGTAAAACCGCAAAAAATTTCATGAAGCACATACAAAAGACCTGGGGCTATAAACGTTGCGTACGCACAAAATGGGCATAGAAATATGCGTACGCATTCCACTCGCACATCGGGATTTATAAAAATAAACTTGGCGTAAATAAGTGCGCACCGTAAGGATGCTCTTGACCATACTTTTAGAAGAGTATGGGTTTTGACGACACCGAGGGTGAACTGGAGACAAATGTCTTTTTGCTCACTATTAGACAGAGAATCTAAAGAAAATTATACATCTACAGAAAGATAATACAGATATAATTTAATTCACAAACCTATCATCAAGCAAACATCCATCCCTTCTTAAATGACCGCGCCAGCACGCGCGTTGGGCCGTTTGGTGAAACTGACGCACATATAGCCTATAATCTAACGGCAGATGAAGTAAAACCGTAAATCTTCATTATGAGTCCAAATCATAAATACAGTCCATATTCACAATAACAGTTTAAATAAATAAGAGAATGGTTTAAACTATGTTTTACTTCTGATATAAACATTTAGATTAAATATGCTATTCTCATTAATGGAGTTACTGAGAGTTACTACATGAAATCATTACTGAGAAGTTACAATATATATATATCGATAAATAGAAAATAGACCTATTTGTTGTGGATGCATTGCTTTTGAACACTTTTCTTCTGGCATGCTGTGTTTTAATGTTTTAACTAGAGATTGTCTGAGAAAACTGTTTCGTGCAAATAATGCACAACCATGTCTATCTCTTTCCATTAAAATATAAATCAATTAAAAATACTATTTGGCCAGTGGAAAAGATTGAGAAAAACTTTCACTGAAATGTATTTAACACTATTTGATTTATTCATTCAAAAACAGGGCAAGGATAGGCTACTAAAAAAAAATGTTTGTAATAATGTGACGGCACATCCGCATTTCATATTTTCCTAACGTCTTGTACCGTTAAACTTGGTATCACGTGGATGAATAATCATATGCAAATGATATGCAGATGAGGATATGCATATTTAAACTAGGCGTTGTAATCTCCATATATGGTTATTTCAGGGAGGAGACGCACGTGCGCATAATCTCCCGCTGACTGGGATTTATAAAGTGAATTCTGCGCAGGTTCTGGCGTACGAACGGTTTTATAAATCTGAAAACTTTTGTGCGTTCGCAAATTCTGGCTTATGTGCGTACGCACACTTTAAGGATGAAATCTACGCAAAGTTTTATACATGAGGCCCCTGGACCGAAAGTGATGCGACCTGTTTTACAGAATGCGGAAGTAAGTTGTGCATAAAGCCTATTGGTTGATAAAAAAAAAGATTAAAATTAATATACAATTTATACAAAACAAAGTGGTTCTAGCCCCTCCCTCTCGTCGCTCATGCATATGACTATCCATTAACGGACATTTTTTCATAAATGTTCAAAATTGTGATAAATGCATTGTGCATTTATGGCATTATGCATAGTAGAACTTTATCTAGGCCTACACATTTAGGAACAGATATTGGGTTCTTCCCAAAGTCTAGCAACGTAAAAGTAACGAGTAACGTAAAAAGTTATTTTCAACTAAGTAAAGTAACTTTTTTTTTTAAGAAGTAACAAGTTACACTACTTTTTAAAAGTAACTTCCCCAACACTGTTTACTGGTTTGATCAGTGACTCAAGATCCAAGTCAGTTTCCTTTTCTATGTGATGTGTTGTGATTGTGTTTCACAAAGGTCATAATAATGGGAGCCACCAATCGGCCACAAGATCTTGATTCTGCTATACTCCGAAGGATGCCTACAAGATTTCACATCAATCAGCCGGTAAGTTCACTGATTTTAGCTCAAAATATGTTTGATGGTTGGAAAATGTTCAGTTTTACTGTTGAATCATTAAACTCTGTAGTGATGCTTATAAATGATCATTTGTCATTTGTATGTATTTAGAATATAAAGCAGAGGAAAGACATATTGAAACTGATCCTGGAGAATGAAAATGTAAGTATTTATTAAGTGGACTGTTGTTGCTATTGAAAGTTGCAAATGCTCAAAGAATATTTTCTCATTTTCTGAAGGTGGAGTCTGCTGTGGACTTTGGTGAAATTGCCAAAAAGACTGACGGCTTCTCGGGAAGTGACCTCAGAGAGATGTGCCGAGATGCTGCTCTGCTTTGTGTGCGTGACTTTGTGCACCAAGAAAGGTAAACACTTCAAAGACCTTGTTCACATTAACACATTTTCATTTGAAAACGCATTTTTTTTCTCGTTTTGGTTTTGGCCATGCCGTTTGTCAACAAAAACTAAGCTTTTCAAAATGCTCACCCAAGTGGATACATGTGAAGTGAAGTGTTGTAGTGTGGAATGGGATAATGTTGGTAGTGAAAACAATGGCATGTGTTAACAATGGCATGGCCCATAGATATCTATGGTTTGCCTGCAATTTACTTTCATTTGTTGCTAAAGAATATAAATGTTCCTTTGTGTAATCGATATATATTATATTTCAGCAAAGATGACAAAAATTGTACTCTCATTTGCTGTCCTACAGCAAAACATGAGCAATTGCATTTTAGACCAACCACGGAATGGTGATTTTGAGTGTGACCCGGATGCATCAGTGAGTGATGATGGGATATTTTGCTAATTAAATAATCGTGCGAGAAGAGTAGCATGAGATCTTTACTATGTCTGCTCTGCATCTATCCATTTTATAAAGCCTTTAACTTCAGATAAAGATAAAAAAGAGCCTGTTGTGCAGAGATGTATAGTAACAAAGTAGAACTACTTAAGTACTGTACTTAGGTACTGAAATTCTGTATCTGTACTCTACTAGAGTATTGTTTTTTTCTCATACTTCTACTTTTACTTCAGTAGATATTTTCGATGAATTTAATACTTTTACTTCCATATTTTTTAATGTTCTGCTAGTTACTCGTTACAATTATAAAAAAATTACGAATCATTCGTTGCAAGTTGGCTTTCATGCTGCCTAAAAATCACACACCAGTTTTATAGGGTAATGGTATTGATTGACACACACAGGGGTTGTCATGCAATGACATTTTTTTGGCAGCCGCCAAAGCAAATTTGTATCCCGCCAAAGTGCCTTATTTGATTGCTAGTTCAAACTTTTATTAGAATTTTTAAATAAACTACTTGCAATACTTAAGTACAAAAAATGTTGAATACTTTAGTACTTCTACTTAAGTGTGGTGCTTAACTTGTACTTTTACTCAAGTCCGGGTTTCTAGTACTTTATACATCTCTGCTGTTGTGTTCTGTGCTCTTTTGGAGTCTGAGGTACATTGTACACGTAGCGCCCGTCTACATTATTCTGGATATGTTAGAAAATGGTGTTTTCAATTCATAACGCTCTCTGTCGACACTAGTGTATTCTAAAAGTTGCTCATCCACACTGAAACGTCTGAAAATGAACCTTTGGTCTAATAAAACGTTGGTACCTAGTCGACTGTTCTCTGAGATTTGTTTTCATGATAATCGAATGTAAAGAGTTTTATCTCTAAAAACCGTTTAGCGTATAACGCTAGTAAATGGGGGCATATGATAAGTAAAAAAAAAAATCGCTAATACCACTAACATGGCTCAAAATAGTACCCACAGTAACATAATGAGACATGCAAAGTTGCAAACTGAAGCATTGAGAACTTTGTAAGTGTACAGACCGTTTAATAAGAAGATACTTTATAAACACAATACACTTCGTGTATACAGACAGGAGCCATCTTTGGAAAACAACTAGTCTCGACTAGTCAAACCACGAATGCCGTTCATACAGTTCAGCTCACTTGGCATGGCTTTCGTGGTATCAAACGTATCCAGAATAATGTAGACGGGCGCTACGTATACAATGTACCTCAGACTCCAAAATAGCACAGAACACAACAGGCTCTTTTTCTTTTTTTACTTTATCTGAAGTTAAAGGCTTTCTATAATGGATAGATGCAGGGCAGACATAGTAAAGATCTCATGTCTCACTCAAAATCACCATTCCATGTTTGGTCTAAAACACAATTGGCTTTATGCACAGCTGCACTACTTCCTGAACTTCAGCCAGCTTCTTGTTTCCTGTCTGCCATTATTGGACAAATTGATTGATTCAGGTGTGCCTGACCTCAGTAGTCATGGCAACAATAATCAGACACACCTGAATTAATCAAGTTTGCCCAATAATGGCAGACAGGAAACAAGGAGCTGGCTGAAGTTCAGGAAGTAGTGCAGCTGTGCATAAAGCCAATTGCTCATGTTTAGAGTCAATAGTTTACATTTGAAACCGTATGAAAATCAAGCATCTTGTTAGTTCATGCAGGCCTCGTCAGCCAAGCTCTTCCTAAAGCCTAGTTCACACTACGTGATTTTAAGCCCGATTTAAGCCCGATTTGCAAATCGTTGAGTCGCCGACAAGTCAGGGTGTTATCGCGTGCAAATCGCGGGCGATTAGCGGACGATTAACGCTCGCCAATCCGTTAGTGTGAAAGAGCCAACAACGCACCAAAGACAGCTCGCAGACACCTCGCAGACAGGTCACCGAGCTCAGAAAAATATCTAGCATGCTAGATATCTCGAGCAGTCGCGCGACTCAATCTCAGTGATGTCATGAGTACAGCCAATCATAGCAACGCATGGGTTGAGGACACCAGGTAAATCTTACTTTTTCTTTTCTTTTTTGCATTTTTTTTTTCTCAGAGCAGATCGTCGAGCAAACAGTGTGCAGCACTAGTTTCTGTCTGACGTCCATATTGGCGTGTTGTGTTCTTCTCTGCAGTTTCGCGTCATTTCTGGTTCGTTTTATTGCGTGGTTTTTCGTTACAAAACATGGTTTCTAGACCAGATAGAATCGTGTTGTTGTCAACTCGTTATTTGTTTGATTATTTTCAGGATTTAGACCGTACTATAGTACTGAAACAGCTCTCATTGAGTCACAAATGATTTGCTCTTATCATCCGATCGTGGTTGTATCTCTGTGTAGTGTGTTGTCAACTCGTGTAGTGAGTTACCTCCTGTTGTGGATCAATCACGTTGTGTTGTGTGGTGTGAACAGCTAAACAACTTGAACACTCATGATTTCACTGAGAGCAAGTCATATAGTGTGAACTGCACAGTTCAGCCCGACATTTTAAAATCATGTAGTGTGAACTAGGCATAACGCGTACCAATCCAGTTTCGACATCCATCACAGCGGCCCATTTAAATTCCCATTCTTTCAGCATTTCCTCCATACCATCATTGTTCGCAATCAAACTCCCTCCTCCAACCCCAACTCCACCCATCCGAACCTGTAATCAATCTGACTGTCATTTTGTTTTTCCGTACATTGCAAGCATTTTCTATTGTTTATTTATATTTCCACAACTCATGTAATTGAGAATTATTATAATCATGTATGCATATGCTGGTTCTGGTTCTGATTAAACTTGCATTTTCGGTGCTCTCTTATTAATTATTTTTCCATTCCATAAAAGTCCGGTGGAAGACTTCATCCGCCCAATAAGGCAGGAAGACATGCAGAGGGCGATCGAGAAGATGAAGAAGTCCAAATCTGCTGGAGCGCAAGAGGCGTTTATGCACGTGCCACTGGACTGAATGTGATGCTGCTGTTTTAAAAGAAAATGAAACTAGATTTGGTCTGTTTTTCTTTTTTTGAGGCATATCATGTTGGTTTTTTTTTTGTAAAAGGGGGAACTCAGGATTTATAAATGGTGGAATGGAGGCTTTTTTTCTCTAATCATCTTTTTTTGCACTGTAATTTAGATATTCTGTTTTTGCTATTCATTCAATCAATGAGCCTTATTCACACACAAAAAGAAAACTTTTTTTTTTCCATTTAACACTCATTTGAGTCAATGGGATAGTTTACGAAAGACTAAACAATTTACATAACTCATTCTGCTTGTGTTACAAGAATGAGGTCCATTGTGTTTGTCTTTATAGGTTTGGTTTGGCTGGTGTTTTTTCTTTATGAAGATGGGCAACAGTGTAGTTACTATTTCCAGTTATGCATAAGGCACATAATTTCCCCTGCAAGAATTATTTTTAGCTCATCTGTAAGTGTGTTTAGTAACAATTTTAACAACTCTCATCTGTTTGTTTTGCCCCAGTGATTGAATGATTTAAATTATAAATGCATTGACTTGTCGGCCTTTAACATTGAATAAAATGTTTAAGTGTTAAATTTAGCCCAGATTAGAGAGAGTGCGATGGCCTGTTGTATACATATTTATTTGTGAAACATTAAATATACTTCCACAAAAAATATTTAGGGCAAGTGACAAGCCGCTGCTGTTGTTATTTCTGGGGGTTTGAATGGGCGACGGATCATTGAATGGTGGAAAGTGGAAAGAAACCCAGTTTCTTCTGGAGAAATGTTTATGGATTGATGCACCATTTTAGAATGCTGGCAATACAATAAAACATTTTACTGTATACAGGTATTTTTCAGTTATTAGGTTTCTTAATCCAATTTAAATGTGCTTTGAAGTTTTGTTGACAGTGTACAAGAATTGGATGAACATCCTATTCTTTTAATTATGTTTATTGGAATTACTGCCCGATGCACATTGTATCAAATTTTGTAAGAAATTACAAAGTGTAAATCTCGCAAGTCCATACATTTCCTGTAAGACAATAAATATGTTTAGGTTGGTCCAATAACAAAATGGCAAGACAATAAATATGCTCTTGTTCCTTCACACTGGATTCCTCAAGAGTTTCATGTTTTTGCATTCAGCACAAAATCTTTCACATTCATACATCACTCTTTACAGTAACTTGTTCATTTGGGAATATAACAGTAATGCCATTTTACATTAAGGCACATGGAAGTAAAAAGAGATTGAAGTGCAAAACAATAATGTGGTTATACTCTACTGCCATTACTGAATGTTTTTAAATTCTTACAAAGAATTAAAATAGAACCTGTGTATACCGGTGGAAATACTGCCAAGACAAGCGCTTATCCGAATAAAATTCCAGTTGAGGTAGGCAAAGTATTGGTCCCATTGCTGTCAGGCATACTTTGATCAGACTATGTATATAACACATTTTAAACAGCAGTAGCTGTGTAGTTTGATCCTTCTATGCTTTCATACTGGGTGATCACAGGAACAAAATATACGTTATTTTAAAGAAATTTGCAGGGGATACATATAGATAGCATTTATCTAAAAATGTGGTACATTCTAAATAAAAAAAATGTAGGATTGTAGTATATAATGCACCTTTCTATAAACTTGACTGTATGTTTTGTGTTCACTGGTCCTTCTGCAGAGAACTATAGTACTCAACTAGGACTTTCCATGCTTTGGGGGCCATGAAACCATCAGGGGGGTTCTCTCCGCTGCGGGCAAGGCTCCTCATTTTGGTCCCTGAGATGAACTCAAATTCACCATGTCTGAAAAACAGAAAAGTTGCTGACTTATACACATCAGCTGTCTATAAATATCAATACTGCCGTGATTTTAATACTTATTCTTATGAACAATAATGCACAAAGTTCAAAATGAATGAAACGGAGAGCAGTTAAGCGACATGACAGAGGAATGTTATTAGATGTCACTTTTAATAAACTATTTAAACTAAAATAAAGCTAAATGCGCCAGTCTTTATAATGGGTTTATGTGATGACCGAGTAACATTTTATATTACAGTGTATTTGCTACATGTTACAAGTACTTGCTATAATAGTATATTATGTTATACATCCAGAGTATATTATGCATAAATACAAGTTACTAATTAATTCATTGTTGTTAATGGAGTAGTTCACTTTTGCTGATAATTTACTCACCCCAATGTCATCCAAGATGTCCATGTCTTTCTTTCTTCAGTCGAAAATAAATTAAGGTTTTTGATGAAAACATTCCAGGATTTTCTCTATATAATGGACTTTACTGGTAACCAAACGGTTCAAGGTCCAAAAGACAGTTTCAGTGCAAACTTCAAACTATTCAAAGGGCTTTAAACGATTTCAGACGATGAATAAGGGTCTTATCAAGCGAAATGATCGCTCATTTAAAAATAAATAACAAAGTTTAAGTTTTATAAGCTCAAATGGTCGCCTTGCTCCGTTCTGTGATGCGCGCTCGTGACTCTCCTGTTCGAACTTGTTCATCAAAATGAACAAATCTTTTTCCGATTCAATTCGTTCATTTCGTTTGTTGAATCAACCAAATGACAAAAAAGATTCGTTCATTTTGATGAACGATTTCGAACAGGAGAGTCACGAACGCGCATCACAGAACAGAGCAAGGCGACCAATTGAGCTTATAAAAATTAAACTTTGTTATTTATTTTCAAATGAGCGTTCGTTTCGCTTGATAAGACCCTTATTCATCGTCCGGAATCGTTTAAAGCCCTTTGAACAGTTTGCACTGAAACTGTCTTTTGGACCTTGAACCGTTTGGTTCCCATTGACGTGCATTATATGTAGAAAAATCCTGGAATGTTTTCATCAAAAACCTTAATTTCTATTCGACTGAAGAAAGAAAGACATGGACATCTTGGATGACATTGGGGTGAGTAAATTATCAGCAAAAGTTTTATTAAACGTGAACTAATCCTTTAATTCATTTAACTCAGTATTTAAATATATAATTACAATGTGTAACCAAATATTATTGTAGGTTAAATTAAAGTTGTTGTAAGAATTATGGCTTTTGGCCATAATTTGGGGGTTCAATGTATAAATATATATATTATGGCAAATTTAAACTATTCACACCCATAATATATATATTATAATATAATAATATGAAAATGAAATATGTACACACCTTTCCTTGTCATAGAAGTCCATGGCCTTCTTAACTCTGTTGTATGCAGCAACTCTGAAGGGAATAATCTCAAGAGAGGTGAGGCCTGGTGCCATGGTCAGCACTTTCCCACCATGTGTGGGCTCATACAGGTCCTTCTTTGTCTCCGGGTGGGGCATACCTGCTGGGTCTCGCCCTACAATGTAAAAGTTGGCACCCGCGATCATCCTGGCCCGACAATGCCACTGTACCTATAAGAACATTTAAAATTGTTGCCCTGTTTATAATTGACTTGACTCACAAATTAAATCATTTGCTTTAAACAGCCTCTTATTTGTTTCAGTGTATCACGCTCAGGAAGTGTCTGACCTCTGTGGGCCCAGCATACATCATGGGTGAGGGGAAAATGGCCACAATTGTATTTTCTGGATCCAGGACTCCTTCCTCTAGCACAGCAGCATGCTGTCTCATGCGCCAGTCCAGCGGCACGTCGTCCTCTTTTGTCCAGCCACCCAGAGGGTGCAGAAGCAGCACGGGCTTCTTGTAGCCTCGGTCGAGCAGACGGCGCTTAGTGTCCTGCATCAGGAGCGCATGGCCATTGTGCACAGGATTACGCAGCTGGAATGCAAAAATGGCATCTGTGGGGAAAAGACACAATTGCAGAGGGTTTTTCCGCACTGGCAAATACTTATGGGAAGAAACCATGTTTCGCTTTTACCTGCTCTCATTTCTTTAAATTTCTGTCTTAGTTCCCGTGGAGTGAGACGGTACTGGTCAAGACCGTCATTCCACCTAAGTCTCTCAAACACCTCCAGGTCTCCACCAGCCAGCCAATCACCACTCTCCATTACCATCTGTGCAAAGGATAAATGTTGCCATTTGATTGGCTGACTGTACTAGGAAGTATAATATACAACTGTTTTAAAAGCAATGTCACAGAGATGTGTCCTCTCACCTTAATGTACGGATGTTGCGGACATGTTGTCCCCCACTGCCTTGCACATCTCTCTTCCTTACGATGCTCATAAAACTCAGGGTTGCGCATGATTGCCACTTTTTGACCTTTGAACTCCAAGGCAAAAGCAGTGTAACCGTCCAGCCTCTCCTTGTCCTCCTTGGATACAGGCAGCACAATGGGAACAGACAAGTTGATGATCCCACCTAAACATAAAAGATTATTAATATTACTATTTTTATAATTATTACTTAATGTTATGTTGGATATTATTACATTAACTACAGTAAATATGCCAACTGAATAACAAGGTAAATGTAAATTATAAAATATTACTAATTAGATTTATATTATTATTAAATTAATATTCAATATTAAATAAACTACCGTTCAAAAGTTTGGGATCGGAAAGATTTTTTGTTTTTGAAAGAAGCCTCATGGTCACTGTGAGGCTGTATTTATTTAAACAAAAATACAGTAAAAACAGTAATATTGTGAAGTATCACAGTCAATAGTCAATAGCCTTAACAAATTTGTCAATAAAAAACATTTTGCACTGTGATGCATTTATGTTTTAAAACATTAACCACAGGCAATTACATTATATAACTATAGATATATTGTATAATTATTTTGTGTTATTTATATGTATATATAATATAAATTATGTATAAATTAGTGCTGTCAAACGATTAAAATATTTAATCGCGATTAATCGCATTAATGTCATAGTTAACTCGCGATTAATCGCAATTAATCACAGATTTTTATCTATTCTAAATGTCTCTTGATTTCTTTTTGTCCCATTATTTCTTCTCATTTTAATGCTATTATCAACATGGAAAAGTGGATCGGCTTGCTTTGTGCAAATGTTTTTTTATTGAAAACAACATTGGCATACACTGTGTTAAATTCAAAATAAAAAATTCTCACTTGGAGCAAACAATCTCACACAATGTAACACTGTCCATCAATAAAAGGGTGAAAGAAATACTGACGAGGTCCTGATATTGACGAGGGGGCGGAGAATTCGCATCAGCTGTGTGTGTGTGTGTGTGTGCTTGGCCATCATCAAGTGGTTTTTCAGACTGGACGTGCTACGATGATGATAGCTCCGTTCACAACGACAAAACACAGATCACTTTGGTCTGAATGGAAAAGTAAACTTTCTGACAAGAATCTTATTGACATCCATTTCGGGGTCTCACGCTTGTCATTTACTCAAAACATAACCTACTATTTGGCCGACTCGCAAGCCCAAACGAGTGTGTGCGGCGTGCTTGTTGTTTTGTTTCCGGTCTGGCTAGATCCGCTTGCGCTTTGGTCGAAGAAGCAACAAAACGTCCTCGCGCGGCGCAACCCATTGAAATGAACGCGTTTCATAGCACAGTGCCGCGCATGCCGCGTCCTGTTGCAAAAGCATGTGAAAGAAAACTACAAAGGCCAAAAAGTTAATCGCACGATAAAAAAATTGCGCCGTTAAAATGGGTTTGCGTTAACGCTGTTAATAATGCGTTTAACTGACAGCCCTAGTATAAATATTATACTGTGTTACAAATATATATATATATATTAGAGCCAGACTGATATATCGGCCGGCCGATATTATCAGCCGATATTAGGCATTTTCCATAATATCGGTATCGGCAGTTATAATGTCCGATAAATGAATATTTAAAAAATAAAATAAAAACGGACAAAACACCTTCAATCATCTCTCCTTGGCCTGTTATTTTGAAAATGTATGTTTTACAATTTGCAGTATGATGTTATCTATTGCTAAATTATGGCTCATCATAGACTAGCTAACCACAAAGCTAGCTCAGTGGAAGCTAACTATCATCAGTGGAAGACCGCTAACGTTAACATTAATGAGCTTGGAAACCACAATGAACTTTTTCTGCCTAAATAAAGTAATTATTACTGTATTTATGACTAGCATATCTCTAGTTACAGTCCCTGCATTGTAAAATGTAAGTTATAC